GGCTTGACAGAACGGCAAAAACCCATACGCAGTGTGACTGTCAGCCAATCGCCTAAGGTTGTGAAGAAGGTTGTTAAGGAAAACAAACAACACAAAATATAACTAGGTGACGAAGCTAAGTGCCGAGAAACGTCTCGACACAAAATTCGCAATTCTTCACGAACTTCAGGAAAGGGCATTTGAACGCCGAGTGGGACCCCGAGAAAGTCCTGAACTGCAGCCGGCAACACCGCGTTTTGATGCCTGTACTGTTCTGGAACATAAAAACACGGGCTGTCCTGTTCCTTCTACTGCGTCGAACCACTGAGATGTAGAAGCCTTTAAGCGACCGGTCCAAGGTGCAGCAATTGGACGGAAACAGAAGTCGCAGTGTAGTGGTGCTTTTCCGTCTGCCAGTTTTATAATGCTGCAACCACGTCTCGAATGATAGAAGCGTATCATGTCAGCGGTCGGGACAAGTGAACAGTGTCTAAATGGCATGGTGTTGCACATCCTCCAGCTGGTAAGTCAAGTGGATTCGGTATGGGTGCCACACATACGCGCAGTGCTCCAACTTTGGTAGAACAATTGCAGTGTAAAGCAAGTCTTGAAAAGCCACAGAATTTCGACAACCGTGTCAGAAAGCCCAAAGTGCACAGAGCTTTAGCCACTATGTTTGAAATGTGGAGAGGTAAGTCCAGTGCTGAGGTACAAACATTACAAGCGTTGCCCCAAGAATTGATGCGCTTTGTACCTTCCATAAGGGGGATCCTGAGATAGTGTATAGGGGAATACTGGTAGTCTTGGTGTTGTGGAAGCGCATCACTATGCTCTTACCCTCACTCATGGCCAGGCAGTTTGCATGCGCCCTCTCTGAAAAGCAAGTGATGTAGCCTTGAAGGCAGATGGACCAGTCGGGAGAAGTGATGCGGGGGACAATGGACCTGTCGTCTGCATACTGTTCAAGTAGGGTGTTACTGTTTTGCGGCTTGTTGTTAACATAGAACAAGGAAAAAGTTGAGCTAAGTACGGAGCCTTGTGAAACTCCAGAAAGAGCTGGATAGCTTTGGCACATTGACCGATGGTATCACGCGTTGGGTATAACCCACCATAAAGCGAGTCAACCAAAGTAGTAGTGAGCCTCCGACACCAACCCAAGCGGCTTTTCTGATCAGGACTGTGTGATCGAGCATGTCAAGCGCAAGGATCAGTTGAATCAAATCAGCAGGAATGCGACTGTCGATACTGTAAAAGTTGAGAAAATATGTTCAGTAACATATAAAACAATTAAAGAAAGGAGAATACATAGTATATCATGGGACCCGTCCAACATCACGAGACAGACATGTTTGTTCGGTCTCGTGCTGGCTTCAGATGCTCTTGCAAAACACCATGATGATGATTGTTAGCGCACACTATACGCCACACGATAACAATCGGCCAAATTTGAGTTGCTGGCTGTCCTCAATCAGTTAGGGTTCGTCACGTCTTGGAAACGCTTTAGCTGTTTTCTTGCTTTTCTTCTTGTTTTCTTTTTGACTATGATTTTTTTCTTCTGCTTCTTTTTTAACTAGGATCACTGAACTGCTGTACTCTGACTTGCTGTCCCTTACGAGTACATTGGTCTTAAGCTCGTCGGTGATTTGCCAAAGTAAGTTGCCGCTCTGTCCATGATGCGCGGTAAGGATCGGTCGACCCACGGCTGAACTCCCTGGTTTCTCCTGTATAGTCATGGCCGCAACTGTCATGCATCCCAGTTTTTTGGTGCTCATTGCAAAGCATTCACACTTTTTGTTCAACATCTCACAGATTTCTTTGTTGTGTCCCTTGGTCACAGACGGTCAACCTTGTTCTTTTCCATGTTGATTGTAGACAGGCCCTCCTTTCCACAGTAAAACGTGGTGGACTACACGTCCTGAAAGAATTGGCTCATCAGTATGCTGAAGTTCGACCAGGTCTCTACACTTAACTGTCTGGCCCTTCTTGAGGATGATGTCAGAGTTGGGGACGTTCACGATAGGAAGACTTATATCCCCCTCTTTTAACTCGCACAGGTAGTCCATCTCGTCCTCCCAGCTATAAGGCATTATGACTGTTTTGTTTGTCATAATCTGAAAGAAGTGTAACCCATTGTACAGTGTTTTTCTGAAGCTTGACCCTATGGTGGACAATGCAACTCGCATATTATCATGGACAACCTTGATTTCTTTGAGAAATTGAGTCTCGTTCATCTAGCATCATAATCGTTCCCTCTTTCTGAAGTAGCACAATGTTTGATGTGTCAATGACGTCTGTTCCCACGATGATGTCAGGGCCCGTGAAAATGTTGTCTGGAACAACCTGCATTCTCACAGCCTTGAAAATTGTGCTGCCTACTTCAAGGTCGGCTTGGATCTCCCCTAAGGTTTTGCATGTTCTGCTTACGCCATATACTTGTTCTTTTCGGCTAGGAACTGCTACTTTTTTGCCTAGCTGGGCGGCAAGTTTCGTCTTGATCAGGCTGATGTGCGCACCGGTGTCCAGAAGAGCAGCCGTTCCTCCATTTAAGGAGGACTATGCTGACCCTTTTTTCTAAGAGTGTAGCCTTCGTCTTCCACTTGTCTGCTTCAGCCTTACGTGACCGACCCCGTCGCCGAGCAGGAGCAGACGTAGATTCGGTATCCGTACTCGTAGAACCGTACGAGTAAAAAAAAAAAACGCCCCGTACTGGGCCCAGGCGGCCCAGGTGGCCCCGCCGTCGCGGGGTGCGCATTTTCCAAACACAAACGATGATCGCAGAATCGCAGCGCCACTGGGCGGACTCGGCGACGGGTGGACACTTTCCGCTTTTCCATGACGGATGTACACTGTACACTCCTCCAGAGAGACGAGCCTAGGTCATGTGGCAGTGAAGTCATGACCCTTTAGACCAATCAGGATTCTTGCGTCACGCCAGCTTTTTCGGCACGGCATCGAGGCTGGCGCGACGCGAGCTTCTTAACGCTATCGGGCCATTCGTGTCGCACCGGTTTCTCTGGCACGCCACAGAGGCAGGTGCGCCCTGTGCACCTTAACGCTATCGCGTTAAAAATTGAGGTGTGCGTATGTTTATACAGCCTGAACTTTATGTGCCTCAACGGGTAACTCGTCTCCCAGCTAAAGATCAGAAACTTGGCCAGTGCAGTGCAACCGCTAGCTTGGGGTCTTAACGTGCATCACGCAGTAGTGATACACGACCCCCGCCGTTACGATTTTCATCCAGATAAAAACGGACAGGCAGCCGCCTCGAATGACCCGCACCGGCCGCATCCACTCTCTAAGTAAGTGCTGAGGTCGGTACCAATATTCTGCAAGGCCTGGTCGGACCCGTGCTAGCTCATCTGCGAAGGCTCGATCCTTGGTGACGAAGAAGGAAGGCCACTCCAAGACGCCCTATAAAGTCTCTTTTTTTTTTTTTTAAAGGGGAGAAATGTGCGGGCAACCCGGTGATCCACAGCATTCGATCAGTATGCCCCCATGTTAAATCGTGTTGTGATTTCTCCCGCGATGTGGCGAAGTGCCCTGGGTCATGCTAGAGTTCCTGTATAGGCCCCCTACGGGAGCCAGAGTTGCGCGTTCATCTCCGTAGCGCCGTCTTTCCTGCACGGCATGGTGATCCCGCTCGTCACGTGACTGAATTCGTCGAATAGCGGCGCCGCGCGTCGGAGGCGCGCAGAGCGCTCAAAAACAGGGGAACGTAAGCCGGGGCGCGTGCAACGTCTACTTTCCTTCACGGCGCTTGATCCCTCTGGCTCCCGTAGGGAGCCTATTGGGGAGGAGATCGAACAGCCACGCCTCTAGCGGTACGCTTCAGCTGTGGGGACAACAAACCGTAATATCTTTTTTGCTTTTTATCCAAAACATCGAAGATGAGGATTTTAAGGCCACTCCTCGTGCGACTAAAGCACTGGTCAGGGCGAAGCGCTCGTGCCGAGGCCGTGCTAGGCGAGGTTCAATTTCTTTGTTATGCTTTGTTAGTAAACACCGGGCTGTGGGGACAGCAAGCTCGATAAAGCGCCTCCCATAGTTTGATCTCCTGCCCAATAGGAAGTATTCACTGGCGGCCATAACTGTGTGCGTGACGGCTGAGCGCGTGCTGATGGCGAGCTTCCACAGTTCTTTTGTAGCGTGCATTCCGCACCCTGAAGCCTGCCGGTCTTAGCAGCCTATTAATGTCAGCTCGTTCTGAGCGTGCGCTCAGAACGAGCGCACGCTCAAAGCATTGACGGTCTTTGATGAAAACTACCAGAGTGGTAGAAAATGCCCAGTTAGGTAGCTAGCTGTATAGTAAATTATGACACGCGCCATTACCCGTTCATAGTAAAATGCGAAAACGCGCCGAGGTTGTTTTCTTAAACAGTGTCGCGGATTTTACTATTTACACCTAAATATACATCTTCAGACATGGCCCTCATGAAACGGAAATCTGATGTAGTAAATCCAGTCAATGAGAACTGCGCATTAATTGAATATTCCAATAGGTATTCGGTAATCTCCTCTAGCAAGAATATATCAGTGGCACAATTTTGCGCATATGGCTGGTTTTAGACATTCACGTTAGTTCTGATTCACCACGTTCATCAGCTCGAAATTCGCAAATATCGTACCAGGTCCATTCTTCTTTGAAAGTGCTCGACACACGCGTGTATATAATCAAATAATAACTGAATTATATAATATTTATTATTGTTAAGCTTTAGGAATGTTGTGCTGTGATGACTTCTTCTGTATGGCTTGTTCTTTGCTCTGGTCGAGCACATCAAACCTTTGTTTAAAAAGCTGTAAATCTCTTTCCCAGAAGCACGTATGTAATATACGTTTTATAATATGTGAAGCGACAATAAAAACTCAAAATTTATATCAAACACGATTCAAGTTGTCAATAAAAAACTATACCCTGCAAAAAATGCTAATTTGGAAATATGCAAGTATTGAAAAGCACATATTCGTGTTGTAATTGGTACAAAAGAGCCCTGACCAAAACTCAGAGGAATGTTGCTTACCAGCCTAATGGCTTGAGAACTCCTGTGTATATAATCAACAGCGTTACTAAAATCAGCTTCGACCAAGTATAGTCTTAACAGGAGACAAAAGAAGGCGGCTTGCATTGTCCATGCCATCCGGTCAGCCTGTGACAAAAGCGGTGTGTAAGGAGAATTTTTTGAAACAATATAAATATGTAATATTAGAAATAATAAGAATTTATTTTATGCTACTGCTCAGAACGGCATTCAAGTCCACCCTGGCTCTTACACTAGAGTCAATATCAAGCAAATAACGGTACATACATAAAACATCGAAATAACACAATCATTCGGTTACTGAAAAGATAATTATTCTATGAAAAATCTGGTCGAAGATCATGCCTAGTTAGCGACATGCTCCAGTAAAGATTAAATGCTGTAAAAGCAAAACAAAACACCGTCGAACTGTATATTCGTTCCACCGTTTTACCACGTTTCACAAATATTCCGCCTGAAAAGAAAGAAAATCTCTGGGATATACAAAAAAATCAGGGCAAATCATAGACATATAAAAATTTAAAAAAAAATATTACTTGGTCTGGAATTTTGTTTTAATTTCATTATTTCCCTACGGAGTCTTAGGATAGATGTTTTCTAAAAAGCCGGATTGAAAGAACTTTTTGCGTAAATTATCTTGCTTTCTTTGCTGGCTTTGGTTTTGATCATTAAGAATTTGAACGAATAAAATCCTTTATGTACTCAGCGGTAAAGAATACTTTAATCTAGCAAAACAAAAATACCCGGAAAAACAGACAAGGGTGGTGCAGTTAGGCCAATTGCGCATGCCGCGCGTCGCCGTCCCTTCGAGCTCGATAAAAGATAATGTCGGGACTAGTAGTAGAGCATGTTTGTGTAAGGTTACTGGATTATAGTAAAGTAGCGTCAAGCTCCCGGTATGATCACCGCCACTTCATGAGCCGATCTGCGATTGGAAGCATTGAAAATAATTTATCTGGCTTGAAATGCGCAGAAACAACAATACCTTTATAAGAAATTTGTGAAGAAAAGCGTGATTATTAAGTGGACGGCATGCACAGTGCCTAATACGCTTATGCTGACGAGGAATGCTTTCAGTACCATGATGCTCAAAGCGACCTTGATGCGACTGGTTCGGAACAACATTTTCAAATCTTCAAACATTATAATAATTGTTGACAGCGACTGCCATGGCAACTGAGATCGAATAGCCAATCACCCTGCGAGGTTTGGCTGTCTGCGTTTTAGTATATGTTTGTTTCCGGTTAGCAGGCAAGGAAAGAAATGGCGCTATCTTTCAGGATCCAGTGACTTTAGGTTTCTGAAGATAATAGTGAAAGCAAGATAGCCTGACTGGATTCATATTATCTGGTGGAGATGAGAGATTCGAGAATGGATGGAGTGGTGGGATCATAATTGTGCCGGGTTCGCTGAAACTAAGAAGTCCGCTATCAAAGATGACCGATACGTTGTGTTTGAAATGCCAAGAGGAAATCCTCGATGATGAGCAGTCAATTACGTGTAGTGAATGCGGTTCCATGAATCATTGCGGTAGGTGTGCGGGAATCTCTGAAGTAACACTAAAAACAAAGGGGAAACCTATCGTAACACGTGGAAATGCCCCACTTGTCGAACCTCAAAACTTAAGAGTGGCGCGACCAATAACCAAAATCGGATGTTGACGTATCGACCATGTTAGCTTCTATGAACAACAAATTAGACAAACTCTTAGATCTCAAAGAAACTGTTGGAGGCATCGAAGCATTCATTAGCATGATGTCGGCAAAATATGATGAAATATTAGAAAGTGTCAAAAGATAGAGGGAAGAAATTAAACAACTAAAACGTAAAGTGGCGGAACTCGAGGGAAAAGACAATGGTGAGGAGGTGAAGCGGCTCAGGAATGAACTTCATGACCTCGAATGGAGAAAATGAAAGCTCAACCTTGAATTTCACGGTATCACAAAGACAAAAGACGAGGATCTAATGAGCAAAATAAACGAAATAACTCCTAGCCTAGAACTGCCTGAGTTAGCTGAAGCCGAAGTAACAGCCATTCACCGACTGCCCTCAAAGCCAGATAAAATCCCTGGCATTATTGTCCGCTTTGCTTCGCAAACAACAAGGGACGCATGGTTGAGCAGGAGGGCAGGGTTACGATACAGTGGAAACAAATACTTCATCAATGAAAACCTGACGAAGCAAAATCGTGAACTACTAGCCAAGGCGAAAGATTGGACGAAGGGAAAAGGCTTCATCTACGTATGGCATAGGAATGGAAAAGTCTTTATCAGGCGCAAAGATGGTGATGACGCCTATGTGAGAAGAAACGAAGATGATCTGAAAGCGATCCATTCGTAGCTCGAGGTCTTTATCGTCTAGATACTAGGGTCTTCGCAATTCATAAAAGAATCACCGTACGTACTTCCCGCTGATTTTTCACAATATCTTGAACGCAGTTTTGAGTCGTCACTGAAAGTTTTTCATTTAAATGCAAAGTCTGCTAAAAATAAAGTAACGGATCTCGAGTGTCCTTTTAGCCAGTTTTCAATTAAATTCAATATAATTATGTTTGCCGAGACATGGTATATTGAAGAAGATGTCTTTAGGCGGCCATATTATAACCACTATTGTTTAAATCGTGTTTCTAATCGTGGCGGAGGTGTATGTTTGTTGATTGAAGAAAGCATCAAAACCGAATTATTATCTACTTTTTGTAGAATGACAAAGGATTATGAAGTGTTATCTTTGGCGACAGAAAATATGCTTATATCTGTGGTTTACCGTCCACCGGATGGCAACATTAATACTTTTCTTGCATATTTTGAGGGGCTTTTCGGATTCGGTAGTGATAATAACTTGAATGTAATCATTGGAGGAGATTTAAATATTAATATGCTACTTGATACTACGCCTAGAACCGAATTTGAAATATTACTTACAACGTATGGATATGCTAACATAATAACTCGACCATTAAACATTACAGTGCACACGGAAACTCTTATCGACCTCTTTATTACAAACATTGATCACGTATGTCTGAAAGGGGGTATACTTACCACCCATATAAGCGATCACCTACCTATATTCCTATGCGTAAATGATAGTCTTTCTCACAAAAAAATGCAGTCATTTAGGCACTTTCAGCATATCACCCCTTATAATCTGGACATGTTTCGTAATGATATTGAAAATGCTGACTGGAGCAATGTTTTTGCTGCAACAGACCCTGATGTAGCTTACGACACGTTCCTAGAAAATTTCAAACGCCTCTATATAAAAAAATTTCCCTTACAAGAAAACTAAAAAATCACGTAGAATTCGGAAACCATGGATTACCCCAAGTCTTTTATCGAAAATTAATGAAAGAAAAAAAAAACAAGTTATTCCAAAGATTTAACAAATCAAGAAATCAAGATGACTTGACAAAGTTTAACGCCTATCGCAACCAGTTAACGAAGGAACTAAGAACCGCTAGGGAACGGTATTATCACAATAGTTTTAGATCTTCAGCTGGACGTATTGATGTTATTTGAAAAAAAAGTAAATTCAATTAGAAAAAATAATCAGAACCATGACAACATAGATAAATTGCATATTAACGGAGAAGTTAAAGATACTGCTTTAGTTAATGTATTTAATGATTACTTTGTAAATCTAGTTTCTCTAGCTTACGATGATAAGGCTTGCGAGTATATTAAATATAGAAACTTAAATTCGATATTCTTGGACCCCGTTAGCGATTCCGAGGTCTTTAATGTATTTATGAACTTAAATAATACATGCAGTAGAGATGCGGATGATATCCAAATTAGACCCGTAAAATATGTATTAGACTTAGTCGTGCATTGTTTAACTCATATATTTAACTTGTGTTTATCTGCAGGTATATTTCCAAAACGTATGCAGATTGCCAAAGTTTCTGTACTGCATAAGAAAGGTGATAAGAATGGCATTAATAACTATAGACCTGTATCAATACTTCCCGTGTTTTCAAAAGGGCTTGAAAAACTTATTCATGTAAGATTGTCAAACTTTTTCGACAAGTATCAACTCATTACAAGGTCGCAGTTTGGATTTCGAAAACATTGTTCTACGGAACTTGCCTTACTTGAAGAAAAAGGATTTATCTTACGCAACTTAGAGGATAAGAAACTTGTTTTGGAGGTTTATATTGATTTTACTAAAGCTTTCGATTATTTAAACCACGAATTGTTATTACAAAAACTCGAATGTTATGGTGTTCGGGGGCAAGTTTTACATCTACTACGGTCCTACCTTGAAAATCGGAAACAATATGTGTGTTGCGGTAACTTTTGTTCTAATATAAAACCAATTTTCTCAGGGCTACCACAGGGAAGTATTTTAGGGCCATTTCTTTTTAATATGTATGTGAATTATATAGTAAATATTGACCAGTCTATTAAAATTGTAATGTATGCAGACGATACAACACTTCTTTATGCTGCTGATAATGTGCAAGAGCTCGTTTCAAAAATTAATTTAGTATTAGATAAAATATCATCATGGACCGACAGGAACGCTCTAAAAATAAATACTAGCAAAACTAAAGCTGTTGTATTTCGGACACAGCATCAATTTATTCCATCAATATGTAGGATAACCTTAAACTCAGTTGATATCGAATTGGTAGAGGATTTTAAAACACTTGGTGTAGTATTTTCTCATAATATGACCTGGGACCATCATATTGCGTATCTAAATAAAAAGCTATCTAAGGTTGTAGGGCTGATATGCCGGCACCGGTATATACTTCCAACATTAATAAACTCTTGTTATATAAATCGTTCTTTTATTCTCATTTGAATCACTGTTCTTTAGTCTGGAGCACAACTACTATAACAAACTTGGAGAAAGTACACTTAATTCAAGAACGAATGCTAAGAACTATTGCAAACGCACAATATTTGTTGCCTACAGAAAACTTATTCAAAATTTGTAATATACTTAGTATCAAAAATATGTATAGCTATAGACTATCCACAAGGCTTAAAAAAGAATTGCAACATCTTCCTTGGTAACATTGTCAAATTGACAAAAACATGTTTAAACGTATCAAACTCGTAACCCCGATTATTGGGAAATACCAACGTGTC